TATATGTGTGTTTTGATACGATATTTATTTTTGTCTAGGGTAATTATTAATGGGTTGAGTGCAGAACTTGGAATGGCGTATGAACGAGGTTGCTAAGTCTAAAATAAAGTATTATATGTATATATTAACTGCTGCAATAGAAATGAGTGTACATTTCCCATGTGGGAAATGTGCAGTCATTTCTGTGATCACGGGTTCTCATGTCAGCTGATAGGTAAGAATAATTTCGAAATAAATTGTGTTTTAATATCAGCTCGAATGCAGCTACGATTACGCAGTACCAGTACAAACACCATTAGTAACCCAGGTAGGTAAATAGTTGTCCATAACTGTGGAGGGAAAGAATATTTAGCGTGTGCGTTAAGAATATCGGTTGCAGAAAGTCAGCCTCCTATATGAAAGCCAAGAAACAGCATGACCGTGCTATAACGCTTTCAGATAAAATCTATCCTATACATAGATGGCAATCCACTTCCTAAGAAATTTTAAAGCTTAGACAGGGATTCAGTCTGAAATTCTGGATAAAATCAATAGCGTGCCTTGTACGGGAAGTTAGAAGACTAAAGACTTTTCTTAGAGCTTTATTTGATGTGGCCACATCTCGCACGATTCTATGTCAAATCTCATATACGGGGGTTGGGAAGAGGGAAGGATATTTTTTGGTCGAAGTTTACTGACTTTACTTCAAGGATAATTACAAAACTGCGGTATTGTATTTAATGTTTTTACAACTGCTATTTCTCGAGATCGAGTGAAGCCATCCACCGCAGGCGATTAGTTTGCACCCCTAAATCGGATACGTATAAAATTCAGCGCGCACCAGATTTTAATTGAAGTAAAAAAGGCAGTGTAAACTTGCTACAGAAAATACGCGATCAATTTGCTTGCAGCTTTTGAATCCGGTCTATTCCGGAAAGGAAAACTGAACGTCTTACGAGAGTCCATAAGTATCTATATGATAGAACAGATCTTGCCGAAAATAATCACAACGCCATCGTCCGGTCTTCGCTGAATTCGCCACCTGCGTGTAAGTAACTGTGTGCATGCAACAAATGCACAAATACATATATATGTTTACTTGAATTGGGGTAACGTAACAATTTCATTTGTTGAGAGTGCTAGCGCTCAACGCAATTCTTGGCATAAATTCATCAGCATATGCTCATTATTGACATACTTAATACACATGACCCTACTTATTGTTTGTACCTTCGATAGCTGAAGAAACAAGAGGACTCAGCTCCACTCTGGTCGCTTGTAATGAGGCATTCAGGCCGCAGCAGGCTACCGAAAGTCCCGTACAACTGAAGGGTCGGTGCAGGTCTTTTTATAAAGGAACTTCTGCAACGGTCGTACGCAAACATGGTGTTCTATTTTTTCAGCACATGCAAATGGTCATCATCTCGGAGTGTAAGAAGTTTCAACGTATTTTCTAAGTGAAATGCGGACAGGACGTTTCTTTCAGCTACCAGACGTCGATAAGATATGATGTATGATCTGATATTAGTCTTCCATACGACGTATTATATAGCAGGCGATAATTAGAAAGACCACGTTATTCCTATGAACAAAAAGCAATGTCGAGATGTAAATCTATCAGCGATTCTATACTTTACGATGGGACCAGTTGATCTATCAAATGCATTTATCTTTACAATTTATAGACTCAATTGGTTAGATCGTTCATCTAAGATATCAACCGGAGGCGCGGATATAATTGTCTTCATTTAGCTTGATTCTGAAGTATGTATTTAAGGCAAATAAACACAAAACATTTAACGAGCTTTGCAGCTGTGTGATTCAATAGGTATGCAAAACTTATTTGGCACTAGCAGTGACTCAGCGTCGTTTAAGGACAGTTCTCCTGTTGAATAGAAAGGATACTGAGAACAAGGAAACTGTTTGGTGCAGTTAGAGGTTTAGGTGACTATGACTGCGTGCTTCCTGAATGTAGATAGACGACTATGACGGGGGTCGATCAATGAGCAAATTCGAGGCAAAAAGGGAAAGATACACGCTTTTGCTTTAAGTGGACTTCTAGCTAATGAGTAAAGGTTCATACTCAGATTGAAAACTACCGCTTAGTCCTGTTTTGCCCCATAGGAAAGGCCGTACTTCAAGTAGATCACATAAACGGTTAATAATCAATGGGGGGGATACGCGCTACGCAAAATGTTCAGTTGGTATTTACTAATAACAGTAGAATGAAAACGAGTCCATCAATCCCACTCCACACCAATGGTTAGCAGCAAACAGATAGACAAGATCAAATAGGTACGAATTCTGCAGTTGGTGCTGTCGAGAACGTATCATCCACAATGAATTTCCTCGACGTTTGTCGAATGCTGAGCTGCTACATTGAGCAGTAATGGAAACGCAATTGTCTGACGATCTTCACTACCTTCCCGAAGTTCTTTACAGTTCGATCTCGGCAACCGGTTTTGGCTATCTGGGGTCTACTGCTGCCGCTGCCATTCAACTTACACACAGATGTCGGTCAATTTGAACTGCTATATATCCGTGACTCGGAAGATCCTCGCAAACACAAGCTGCGTCTGTTGTTGAGGCAGGCGCCATCTTGCGAGGGCTGCTGCGATGGCTGGCAGATGGTTGGTATATTTCGAACCTTCGGCGTTCTTGCGGATGCCCGCAAACGGCTGGATGGTAGCGACGCTGGTGATATTAATGGTACCTGCTCGTCTTGTTTCGTTCGATCTCGACTGTGTAAAGCGCTGCTGCTATACCAACTATCACCAAGGACAGCAGCAGCGCCACCACCAACGCCGTCTCATTGGATCAGCAGCAGATCAGCGCGTGTCCAGCAATTTTATTCCTGTATTGGCAACAAGCGACTGACGCTACGATGCCGATACGGATTCGCTGTTTTTCGCTTCGTCAAACCTTATTATACACACGTATACTGCCACCGTTATTGTATATGTGCAGGATAATAGTGCTGCTGGTGATGGCAGAGGCCGCCATAGCGGCCTCGGCTACTGTCCGTTACTGCTTGCTCGGATCGGAACGTCGCATCTGCCCGTCCATCCGCATGCCCGCCCGCCCGCCCGCCTGCCTGCCTGCCTGTTTCTCTGTCTGTCTCGATGTGTGTGCATGCCATGGCAGGACACTGTACGGCGAAAGCACAGTAGATAGATAGAACGACAGCAGACGTAGCGGCTGTCGCTTCGATAACGATGTCGGCGACGACTGACTGCCGGTGGCGGCTGGCGTTGTTGCTACTGCTGCTGGCACCAAGGCACCGTTTGAGATACTGATGAGACAAGTCGATCTATGCGCGAACAACGAATGAACGATACAGTCGATCGAGCCGTCTCCTGTATGAGCTGGTCGAGCTGCTAAGAGCCAAGCAAGCAACGCCGCAGCCGCTTGCGTTGCCACCAATACTATTGCTGGACGACAGCAACGGTAAGCGGGAAAGATAAAAAACAACTGTACGTACAGCAGATGTTCCGTCCACCTTGTCGTTGTTGTTGTTGTTATTCTCGTCGTTTACCGACTCTATGTTCCGTACACTAGATGAATTGACGATCGAGAAGAAGGACGAAAAAACACCGGCGCTTGTGGACCTGTTGCTTGGCCTGCCCGATGCTGCTGACGATAATGATGGAGCAGACACAAAAGAGTCACATACAAAACAGCACCTTTAGGTAAGAAAGAAGGCACCCGTACCCGAGGGTTCGCGCAACACGAACTCATGCTAACAGAAGCGATGCAGAAGAACATATTCTGGACGTGAGCTATATGTAAGCAACTGTGAGGTGATGCGAAGACAACCAGCCCGTGGCAAGACGCTTGCTAGAGGCGACATCGTTGATGGCGGCGGTGGTGGCGGGAGTTCGCAAGCGGGCAGTATCATCTTCTTTGACCTAAAACAGAAGATGAGAACAAGAACGAAAGGAAAGACGACGAAGCGTACTGATACGGAGTGAAGATGGACAGAAAGGAAGACGACGGAGGACAGCGCAATATCTGTCCGACAACAGTTACTACGGATGGGTCACTTCAACGATTTCCGACTTTATACGCAACCCGTAAACAGATGATGATGAAATCAAAGACATTAAGAAATAGGAAGCAGTCCTCTTTGTCACCTTCCCTCCCGAACCCCCTTTTGCCTCTTTTGGCTATCCTTCACGTTGTCTTAAAGGACTTGGGTCAACGGTAAGGGGCGCCGGGCGGCAAGCAAACGATGGCTTACGGAGGTGTTAGGGAAAGAAAAACAGAAAAAAATAGACCGGTTTAAAGAACGACACCGAAGACAATTCTATGAGAATTTTGCAAACCAACAAATACAAAAGAAGCTCAAAAAAGCCAAAAAAATGAGGGCGTTGACAGCGGACAATAGCTGAAAGAGACGTATACATGTAGATTTATTAATCGAGGGTCAACTCCTTTCTCCTTCCGAGAACTCGTCATCTACGGGTAGCTGATGCGACCCAAGAAATCTGTTTTATTTTTTTGGCCGCTTAAAACGTTTTGGCATATTCTCGCACCTTATTAAGCGATTTGGATATTATGAACAGAGTGAAACCATTAGAGATCATATAAGAACTAAGGCTAATAATAGCTCTAGTTACCAGAGTTACCGTAGCGGATGTGCTTCATCTAAAATAGCTTCATCTAGCTATCGCTAGCTGGCTTTGGCCTGATTATAGGATATAAGGTAGAAAACCTCATACTAGTACAGGCGATAAAAGATGAGTTTGCCGTATTCGAGGTAAGTGGCTTCTAAGAATTTATTGGCAGCCGTGACAGACGCCGAGGTGGTTTAGCTAACAAATCAATTACCTTATTTAGTAAACGGATCCTATGAAAGAAATAATGAATGGGAACAAAGTCTAGCAAACGCTTGAACTTTCACTAGTTTTATCACATGAAATATTAGTGAATTATTTTTAACCAAAATTCGATAGCCTTAGTTATCGTAAAAGTTCCATTTGTTCCATGTAAACGTTAATGGACGGTCACTTTTTCTTAAAGAAAAAACTCGAGTTCAATTTTGAGACTATAGGAGGAGCTAGGTGTCTCGGTTCCTTCTCTATAAGGATTAAATAATGACAAGTTATATATTGATTGATTTTTCTCTACTAATTTATGTATAGTAGTAGGCACCCACTCGTAGTTGAATATTGTATGGTAAATAATTATCTATAGCGAACACTGGTAGTAGTATGTAGTCGATATCTTTAGGTTCATAAACGCGCAATTTAAGCTCCGTTGAGTTATCGTAGTTTCTAGATAATAGCTTAACAAGGAAGCCATGCAGAGTCTGTACAGCAACGCTCCCCTAAACAACAGTCACTTCTCCAAAAAAGAAAAAACAATGTAACAAGGACCTGGTAGTATAATCCTTTCTGGAGACCACTTTCTTTCTATAATGAAGTATCGCCTGCGATCTGTGGGCCTATTCAATCGGAAGCCAGATAGGGGAGCAGTGGTAAGAACGAATCCTTCCATTCGAATCTCTTGTTTTCCGGCTTCGACGGCATTCGACGATGCGACATCTTCACACTCAATTTCGAGTTGTCTACCGTATTCGGAAAGTGTTTTTAGCTAGCATTAATCAACTACCTTCACAGCAACGTAGTGCACTACGAGGCAGAGATTAGCTACGAGGTAAATGCGTTTTATGAGAAAACGGCACGGCATGACGACCTACAAGTAAAAATTAAGCGGATGAAGGAAGTTAGTTGCAGAGTTTCGGGTACGACGGTTGCGCATTACAGAATGACAAAGTCGTGTTGTGGGAAAAGAAGACGAGTCATTCGTTGCCCTTATGCTGCTAAAATAGGGGGCGATTCAAATCGAAGTAGACGACTACGGATGGCTGACGGTTTTGTTTTCCGGCTTTTGGCACATTATCTAGATTGTGCTTGCTATTTTAGCGCATTTTAGCGAGAAGCGATGCCAATTGCTAAAACAGCGTGTACCTTTGGACGAACTCATTTGAGTTCGGTACGAGACTACTAACGATCAAGAACTATACCCTTAAGTGCAGCAATGCCTCTGCATGAAAACCATGGTACGATAAATGGTACCAAGACAGATTACCCGTGGTGATTAGCATGAACTTGAATGTAAAGGTAGGTTTTATTTGTGTCTGTCTGTGTCGTTGAAACAGTTTTAGAAATATTCTTCCATTAACGATTTTAGTCATTGTAAAAATAACGAAAAATTAATTTAAGTCCTCTAGTATTGGTGGTCTTTAACAGTGGGTCACTTACCTGGCAAGTTCTTGTTAGATCATATATGTATGTATATATTAAGCAATAGCACCCTCTAAAGCAAAGAACACTCTGCAAAAACTCTTATATCTATAAAGAGACATTTCAGTACTCAAAAAGTGATAGTGGTACAATCGACAATTATGCTTCATTGCGTCAAGAGTGTTACAATTCTCGAGCTCACGCAAACCACCATTAGCTATGTTCATTCATTCATTCTCCGAACAGTGTCAACGGCTGTTCCGACTATTCTATCTAGTGAGTGATTGGGCGAGACTCGTGTCCATTGCAGACCTATATTAGAACATTGAACTCGATGCTGCGAGAAGGTTCTGACGGAACGATATGCTCCACTGAATATGCCGTTTCGTCGAAACTTACTTTCGAGCCCAGCAGCAGCAGCCGCAACCAAGATGGCCTACGAAGAACGCTCCCATATAGCGTGCCTCTTCATCAGGCGACAGTTCATTTCGGACCAAATCAGTTGAATTTTGCTTCAGGCATCATGTGCAGGCTCACACATAGACATTCGTAAACATGCGCGGAAAGCAAAAATGCGGCTTTTGCTACTACAAATTGTAGAAATAGGGCAAAAGTATTACGTTTATTTGTTGTCCTGCGATGGCAAAATATGCGATAGTATGGTGACATTACCGATATTCAGCTACGCTGGTGTGGATCGACCACTAAAGTACTTCACATCCTGTTACTTAAATATTTCGAGATGTTCTAAACAAGAAAATCAAATGCTATCTATAACATTGAAAATCTATACCAATGAAAGAGGTACGATTTCATGTTAAAAGGTGTTTCTTGTTAAGGACCAGACATTTCTAAAATCCATAATTAGTCATTGCGTAGCATTACTAATCAGGCTACTTATCATAGAATTGCTTCCGTTGACTCTGCCGGACGCGTCATAAGACAGATATGCGTAGCTGATTCTTAAAGCGTACTGGCATATTTTGGTATTAAACAATCTTTTAACGACATCTTTCCTTTTATGATGTTGCGTGGTATATACATATTCATCAAGCAAATTTTTGGGGCCAATTGGCAACCTTTATTTGCATTTAATTAGGCCGTAAGACAACTTCATGACTCATTCAAGAGTA